CTAATAAATCAAGATTTCACGCAGCTTCTAACTCGCACTTCTCTTGCGTTTTTTTCTCTCTCCCGTGCGTGCAGCTTCCCTAAGGGCAGAGTCAGCTTGACCTAATTACACTCGATTGGCTGCTCACCTGCGCAGCACAGACCTAGAGCTCAAAACAAATTTAAAGTTTTACATGTGATTATTTACTTTCCATCTTACATTGTAAGTAATCCATATCTAATGGGAAATATATATACACATTTAATCTTTTATCCTATAATTTCCTTTTACGTTACTTAGTTATTTAGCTTAACTATATTTATAACTGATTCAGACTACAAATATCTTTGAGCCTGGGTTACAATGGGATCACCAAACAGTAAGCTAGATCATTTTTATACACCAGTTTTCGGTCAAATGAAAAATAATTATGGGCATAAGTGTATAACGTCAGCCCTGATGCACGCTATACACGCCGAAGACCAGCTGCAGGAAAAGAAAGACAGAAAACCACTCACAATGGCGGTTGTGCAACGTGAACCAAACAAGCCTGCAACTCAACAAAAGGCAAGAGGAAGAGATGACGGAAGGAAATGGAGGTGCTATGTGTGTGCTACGAATCACTGATTTACTGTCTGCTATCTGCAATGAAGAATCTGCTTGCAAATCTTTGTGTGTTTTGAGCAATGTTGTGAATGATGAAATTTTGGCCATTTGATCTCTGAACAATTCACCGAGCCCTTAGAGTGTGAGACGGAGGGGGGTCGAACTCTGAAACACGAGTTTCTCTGGTCGCCCAAATGTCCCGCGCCTCTAATGGCCAGAGATTTAATGTGTGAATTAAATTTGACCCTCAGTGCTGATTCCTATGGCATTAGCATTGAGGAAGCACCACAAATGACATGTTCTAAATTTGAGCCGCAGTGGGCTTACGAATGGCAGATAAAAGATGTTGATTGGGCAGAGATGATTTTGAAATTGGCTAAGGATCGAACAACACCAATCAACACAGAGTTTATGACGCCTAATAAAATGCATTGCACGTCACATGTCATAGTAGAATGAGACTCAGAGTATGAAGAAACTTGGTTTAGTGGTGTGGAGAATGAAAGTGAGAAATTTGACAAGATTTTCTGGACAGAGAATGTGTGTGCGCTTTCTGCCAGTTTGAATGAACAACAATTGCAGTGTTATTTAATGACAGAAGAGAGTGTTCCCCACCTATCTGTGTCAAAGGTCATAAAGCAGCAGTGGAAGGATTTAGGGCTTTTTGTGAAAAAGTGCCTGCAGGCCACAGACAGGGCTGAAGTTGATACAGACATAGCACAGAGCAAAAGTGTTGGAGCATTTAAATCAAACTACAATTTTGATGTGCAGGTTTTGAGAACTGTGACTGCTGTTGTGAAGAATGATGTGACAAAATATGGGGTGGGGGCTATTTCTGCCTCAGACATTGATATTTCTTTGGCAGAAATACCGTCAAAATTGTGGGCAGAGCACAAGTACGATGTGGGTTTAATTAAGGGATGCGAGCCGGTTGTAATCACCCCCAAATCTGACTACAGACCGTGTCAAGCACAATACCCCCTCAAACATGAAGCATTGCAGGGCATAATGCCAGTATTTGATTCTCTGTTGAAGGAGGGAATAATTATACCGTGCAATGATTCACCAGTGCGCACACCAATTTTTCCTGTAAAAAAGATTAGAGATAAGGGTCAGCCAACAGAGTGGCGATTTGTGCAGGATTTACAGGCGGTAAATTCAGCTGTCATTGCCAGGGCAGCACGAGTGCCAAATCCTTATACTATTTTGTCACAAATTCCGCAAGATGCAACATATTTCACTGTGGTGGATTTAGCTAATGCTTTCTTTAGCGTCCCAGTGGAAGAGAAAAGCCAGTTTTGGTTTGCGTTTGATTTCAATGATAAAGGCTACACATTTACAAGATTGTGTCAGGGCTATTGTGAATCCCCAACGATTTATAACGAAGCCCTTCGGAGAAGTATTGAGCCTCTGACTTTGACAGCTGGAACAGCCTTGTTACAATACATTGATGATTTATTAATCTGTGCCAAAGATAAAACTACCTGCATTGTTGACACTGTGACTCTCCTGAAGCATCTTGAGCAGGGGGGACACAAGGTCAGTCTTTCAAAGCTGCAGTTTGTGAAACAGGAAGTAACCTTCCTGGGGCATGTTATCAAACCAAATAGCAAAGCACTGTCTGAGAAACGGGTGCGGGCCATAAAAGAGGTGCCAAAACCAGTTACAAAGAAACAGATGCTGTCATTCTTGGGGATGTGTGCTTACTGCAGAACATTCATTCCTAATTATGCCATTTTTTGAGCAGCCTTTACGAGCCCTAATGACAGGGAAAGGGCTGAGGTCATGTGACAGACTTGTTTGGACAAGCGAGGCTGAGGAAGCATTTGATAACATGAAAGTGCAGTTGGCTATGGCTCCAACGTTAGGCCTTCCTGTCATAAACCGCCCGTTTGTACAGATGGTCGATGAAAAGAATGGTTTTATGTCTTCTGTTCTCTTGCAGACTCATGGTGACAGACTGCGACCTGTGGCTTATTTCTCAACGAAACTTGATGCTGTAGCTGCAGGACTTCCACACTGCCTGAGAGCAGTGGCAGCGGCCGAGCTAGCTGTGATGGCCTCAAGAGAATTTGTAGGCTACTCTGATTTGACTTTAATGGTTCCACACGCAGTCTCCATGATTTTGCAAGAGCAGAGAACGTCACATTTGTCTACAGCCCGATGGCTGAGGTATCATACAATTTTGTTGGACATGCCAAACATAACTGTGAAACGATGCACAACTTTGAATCCTGCCACCCTTCTGCCCACACAGGAGGATGGCGAGGAACATCACTGTTGTCTGTCAGCGCTCGAACAGGTGTGCACACCACGTCCAGACATTTTAGACATACCGATTGATAAGTGTGACAATATCCTGTTTGTGGATGGGTCTGCCTCGAAAGATCCACAAACAGGGCAGAATAAAGTGGGTTATGCTGTAACGACTGAATTTGAAACTCTGAAGTCTGACAAATTACCATCACACTATTCTGCGCAGGCAGCGGAACTGGTCGCATTGACCGAAGCGTATAAACTGATGGCAGACTCACGATACGCTTTCGGGGTCACGCATGACTTTGGTGCTTTGTGGAAGCACAGAAAATTCTTGAAATCAGATGGGAGGCCGATACTAAATGCGTCTCTGGTATCGGACCTGCTCGAGGCTATTCTGTTGCCAGACAAAATTGCGATTTGTAAGTGCGCAGCGCATAGCATATTCAGCAGGAAATGCCAGAGCTGATATGGCTGCGAAAGCAGCAGCAGCGAATCAGACTAAAGATAATAGTAAAAGCGCCACTTGCGCACAAGTTAACATTAATCTTGACATTTCTCCTTGTTTACAGAGCATGCAGTCTTTTTCCACAGGAGCTGAGAAAAACAACTGGAAAGCATCAGGCTGCAGCCTTGTTGATAGTGTGTGGAGATCCGTTGTTGGAACGCCCTGTTTACCCAAACATTTCTTTCAACATTATGCTAAGTTGACACATGGGTTAGACCATGTATCAAAAGGGGGAATGATTGCACAGATGAAAGAATTGTGGTTTACCAAGGGCTTCACAATATTCGCTGAGAATTTTTGCAAAAGATGTGTTATCTGTAATACACACAATGTGGCACGAGGCGTCAAAACGCAGCTGGTATCCCAACCAGCCTCAGAAGGGCCGTTTGAGTACTTAATGATCGATTTCATTGAATTAACCCCTTGTGGGAAACAGAAATATTGTTTAGTGATGGTTGACATGGTCCAAATGGGTCGAGGCCTTCCCAACATCGAAACAAGATGCGGCAGCAGTAGCAAAGGCTCTGCTAACAGAGATTGTTCCGAGATGGGGAATCCCAAGAAAAATCAGTTCTGACAATGGAACACATTTTGTCAATGAGGCAATAAAACAGGTGGGTCAATTCTTAGGAATTGATATGAGAACACATCATGCCGCCAGCGGAGGTGCTATTGAACGGGACAATCAGACGGTAAACAAATTGGCAAAGTGTTGTGAGGAAACTGGACTCTCATGGGTGAAAGCACTCCCAACCGTGTTAATGTACATGAGAATGAGAAAAAGAGTCAAAACAAATTTGAGCCCATTCGAAATTCTCTTTGGTAGACCACCATTCATGGGAATAGAAGGGGGAAAACGCAGGCTTCCATCAACGGATGTGTGTGAAAATGAAATGTTGAATTACTGCAAAGAAATGTCTTGTCTGTTATCCAACATTTCTGTGCAGGTGAAAGCTGCCCAGAGGAAGGTTGCTGAGACGTTTCTGCATAAGATCAGGCCGGGGGATTACGTGGTAATTCGTGACCTGAGGAGGAAGAACTGGAAGGCGAAACGGTGGCGAGGGCCATTCCAAGTTTTGCTGAGGTAATTTAATCAGGAAAGACAGAGGGGTTAGTACTTTTGGCCTCACGGGTGTGAAGGCACACAAACACACAGTAAAAACAAATGGTCAGAAAGAGCCTTTGAACTCTTTAGTGCAGGAAAGACAGAGGGGTTGTTGACCTCACAGATGTGAAGATAATAAAAGCCCAGGGGGTTAGAAGGACCATTGTTTTTTCTGAAAACAGCTAGGTTTGGTTTACGAGATTAAGTGGAAATTTACAGAGAAGGAAAACTTGTAAGAAGTGGGGGTGATAACAGTATAATAAGACTGTCTGCTTTCAATGTGATTTCAGGTCTGTTGTGTTTCAGGGTAGCTGCTGAAACATTATGAACATACCTCTTTAAGGAAAATAAACTTCTATTTTATACAAAAACATAAAAATAGTTAATAATATATATATATATATATATATATATATATATATATATATACACACATACACAGTATATACACTGTTTGCAAAATTATTTTTAATTTTTGTAAGTGTTCATTTAAGTCTGCAGGGCATATTGGCAAATAAACAAAATATTTAACAGAATGTAGGATTTCTACATGAACAGACACTGATACGCCATTGAATCAACTCATCACGAGGTCTAAACTAATCCAATCAGGAGACAACAAAGCTTTCTTTGTATCAAGGACAAAAAAAAAGTTATTTCACAACCTATAGCTACCTCGTGATATCTTGTGATCGCACAATGTATGGAACTATTATATCCAACAGGAAAAGGACGAGTAATTTAATCACACCCTCAGGCTTGCAAAACAACGGACCTAAAGAACAGTGATAATGTGATTCAATCAAACTCAGCAAACCACCGCATGACGTGTATGGACCTCAGAAAATTCTTCCCCTCTTCCTTTCTCTATTAAGAGAGGAAACGCAGACATTGCATGAACCAAGTTTAAAAGACAGCATTTAAAATCATTTAAAGTATCAGAGCAATATACTCCCAAATAATAGGCTTTCTGTTTGATGTGTTTATTGTAAACTATGAAGTTTAATCAATGTTTTATAACCCCTTTTAATAGATAAAGTGATTAAAGGTACTCCGTGTATGCCAGATATGCGAAGTTTGGGCTTGTGGGAATGGTCATGATATTCGAATAACCTTGGTATGAATGAAAATGTGTTATTTTGAACAGTGTGTGTTGTACGACACTTTATAAGAAGTTATTAAAACTTGCAGGAATACTCCCCACGGGAAGCATGTGATTCATGCATGATAAAGGAACAGTATGGGGTGTGGCTAAGCCCCGCAGCCACTATCTGATTGGAACAACGACCTGTGGGATGGATCAAATCGGCTTGCTTAAAAACCCAATGCCTGAACAGTCGCTCGCTCGCTCTCTCTCTCTCTAGAACTGTGGCTTTTCGCCTTGGTGACCGCGCGACAAAGCGCTCCCAACATCACGAGCGGGACTCCAAAACTCAAACACTTCAGTTGAAACTTTGTGACTGCCGGAGATCTTCAAAAGCCTAAAGTCTTGCAAAGTTAAACTCGCCAGGAAACCAACCAACCCCGGAAGGCATCCCCAGAAACTACGTCATCCAGACACCGGGTGAATTGAGTTTTAGCAGTAAATGTAAGATAAATCTCTGCTTTGTGACTCTCTCAGGTTGAATTTAAAAAAACTCGTGGAAAACGAGTTAGAACTTTGGGAACTTCATACAAACTCCGTCAACTCTCATTCTTCAGAACTGTATGTGTGTGTGTGTATGTGTGTGTTTTAGCTTAGTTTAATGTAATCTAGAATAGCCAATAAATTCTTGTTTCATTTATAAAGAAGTATTGTCTGGTGTCGTGAAATTTTGTAAAGTTAAAGCTCTGCCAAGATCACGTTACCTAGCTCGTAGCTTATAACTCATCAAAGCATGTATTAACCCGTGGCCAGGGAAAATACAAATATTCAAATTGTTAATATACACTGACGTTAACGTCTCACTGGACGAGTAGCTGATAAAGTGTAAACTATCAAATTTGAAATCAGTTCTAATTAGGTTGACCTCGAATTTTCAGATTCGATTCCTCTCAAAACCTGAGCTAGAAATAAAAATAATAATTAATTCCCTTATAAATGAGTTAATTTCTTACATATGGTGGAGAATGCAGGCAAAGATTTGGCTTAAAAAAAATTAATGACACCAAGATATTATAGTGAATTTTCTCTATTTTTATCCGGAAAATAGATTAGATACAGAGAAACAGAGTCGCTGTGTTACTGGATATTTTATTGTGGTATACCAGTGTGTTGAATGAATGAAGTGAAACTTGAGTTGATGTTTAAAGTTGAACTGCAGTAAAACATTAAATTTGGTCTGTCGAGACAAAAACTAAGTCGCTCTAAAGCGCATGAAGAGAGAAGTTCCTTGTTTTTCTTCTTTCTTAAAAGGCCTTCATAGCTTGATTTGTATAGTGCGTGTTCCACTTCTAAATTCAACTATGCTATTCATCTCCCTGGTTCAAGAATATCAGATTAGCTAACTGATAGTCCTCTGCCACTTATTCGCTAAAACTGGTGAACTTGAAAACGCGGTGCTCAGAGAGTATCTGAACGCTATTTATTTTTGGGAGAATTGTGAAATCTTGATCAAGTAAGAATTGTGGTCAAATCCATGTGTATTTTTGTCTGTATAAATAGACTAAGTGCTTAGATCCGCCGAGATCTGCAATAATGTCATTTTGAATTAATTGCAGTAAATCTGTATATTAATTTACCTCACTCGAATGAGTCGAGTGAGTGGTCAGCGTTATAAGATAAGAGTCTATAGTGCTTTTTGGTTGTTCAGTGTGAAAGGCGCCACCATTTCACATGAAGGGCATAAACTGTGTATAACCATCAACTGTGTGTAAGCACATGCTAGTTATTGTAGGGTACGTTGCCATAGCAACAGCCATAGCCCGGAAGTTCTAAGAAACCCTTTTCCGGGGTAACTTTTAAGTGCGCAAGCGGAGTCCACCAGCGCCATGTTTGAGCTGTTTGTAAACAAATAGCCAAGCATGAGCAAAGCTAACTGAAGCTAATGAGTTTGCATTGAAGCCTATGCAGAGCTATTAGCATCGAAGGCTAGCGGTTAGCACATAGCATTTTGTGGTCTTAAATGCAGAGTGTTTTGCAGTGTTTGAAGTGTTTAAGTGACTTGATCAGTTACATCTGAACTTTATCTTTCGCTCTTTCATACTAATTTCATCCTATCTCTCTCTCTCGTCCTCTCCTCCCATTGAAAAGAACAGACAGATGCAAGCTTTATAAACCTTATTGCAACGCGATTTTAACCAAACGTCAGATTAGCAATCCCACAATTGGTTATAATCACGTTTGTTTAAAG